CAATGACAAACTCGGAGCCAAGCCTCACACAAAGAAACATCTTCCATGGTGCTCCACGCCCCTCCGGTTTCAATAGAAGAAGCCATAAAAATAAGAAATAAAATTACAAGGTGAAAGAGATGAAAATGTTGAGTGAAGAGTGAAGAAAATGTTGAGTGAAGAGTGAAAAAAATGTTGAGTAATTGTAGAAGTAGAATAAAATGTATGAGAATTGGTGTTGAAAGTGAAAGGTATTTATATGTATTTATAGGAAAAAATATCAGAATTTTTTAGTAAAAAATTTTGATTTTTTTTCATAATTTTATTGCTGGAAAATCGCCAGCCGTTGGATGAAGGCTGTGGAATCAAATCAGGGCGCTGGGGGCGTGCCCCGTGGCTTCCAGCCGTTGGGCTTACGTCGCGCTGACGTCAGCGCACGTTGGTTCCAACACACGCCAACGGTAAAAAAAATTTGATTACCGCGTGTCAACGTCAGCCTGACGTCAGGCTGACGTCACCCCCCTGCGTTTTGGACCTCGGGCTGAACTTGCCTTCAAGCCAGCCCGGGTTGGTGGGTCCCCCCCCCCCCCCCCCCCGGGGCCTGGGCTACTCTGCTGGAACGCAATATATTTTTTTTTTTCCCCTAGCCTCGGGCTGGGCTCATCGATGGAGGGGCTCTTAAGGCTGATTTGTATCTCTTTTTCTTCCAGTACATGGTACCTTCGATGGAAAATGTGTTCTCTCTCACAATGGGGCTCTATGTCCGGGACTTTATATTTGAGGCTCTAAATTTTTTATGTTGTAATTTGGTTTACGTGATAATACTCATTTTTATTCTTTTATTGAGTTATTTACACTAACAGCCTTTGAGTTTTTTGGTCTTTTCACAAAACTCTCTGGAGTTTCAGAAATTACACAAACACCCCTCAAGATTTTAATTTGTTTTCACAAAACTCATTTTTATTAATTTTTAGTTTAATTTCAATTTAGTACCTTAAACTCTCAACCTTAAAGCATGTTTGTCTATGCACTCTTAATTTTAACAATTATGTACCGTAATCTTTTTAATTTTTTGCAATCTAGTTTTGACTGTCAAAATTTCCCTTAATTATCTACGTGGCAGGCATGGGTCCCACCTTTTCGCTGCTTTCGATGCCAATTGAAAGTATTTTCGATCAATTAGTGTATTCCACAAGTACTTTTGTTAAAAAAAATTAGGATTAATTACAGTTTAGTACCCTATGGTTACACTCTTTAGACATGAAAAAACCACCTTACCAAGAAATGATGTGAAAATTCACATGACCATATACACACACCGAATCCACATTGTGGAAAAATGTTGAAAAGATTCTTTTCAAAGGCCCTTGTGATAAAAATAAAATAAAATAGATGGAAAATATTTAACTTTGGGTTTACATAGTCAACACGAGTTTTGGGCCTACATTGGCAGCTACCTAATTAATGTACAAACTTTTGCCCAAACATCTTTTCAAGATGCCTTACTTGTTCTTGCTTTTCACTTCTCATTTTTGCTCATGTGAATGTGAACCGTGATTAAGTAAAAGATGAAGAAATTCATTGCAACTCTAAGTGATCAAACGGTGATATTTCCTTTACTTTTCAAGATGCCGTTTTCTTTTGACAAGCATTGTCTTTACCTTTTCTTTTTACCAGCATTACCTTTACTTTTTCTTTTTGTTATGGAGTCTGTAGTTTTAGTGGAGGTCCTCTCTTCCCACTTTAATAGTTCATTGACTGAGTGAGCTAGTAGGGAACACGGTAATGATTTTGTGGGCATTAAAATTCTCTGTGTCAAAAGAAGTAAAGGAACACAGGAGAAAAAAAGGGCATTAAAATCTTTCACAACTCGTAGTGAAAAGAAAAGAGACAACCACCGTGCCAAAAATAATGTGAAAGGACAGGAAATTTCTAATGGAGACTGGATTGCTGGGTTTGCCGTAAACTTGGGGAAAGGACAGGTGCTGGAGGCTGAATTGTGGGGTTTATTCTTTGGCATTAAATTCGCTGCTCAGAAAGGACTTTCTCATCTCATCATTGATTATTTCGAACATTGATTAATTTCCTTACTTTGTACTCCTCTTCAATATCAGTATGCCTCCGCTTTGGGTGATCCGCTGGTTCTGAAGACAAGCAAGCGATTGCTCTTGATGATCATGATCATCAACTGCGGTGATATCTGATCCACGAGGCGTCTTTCCGACTGAACTCGTTGATTCATTCATCGTTATATCGTCGTCATCATCCATGGCACTCCAACTAACATCAGCAACCTGGTGGCCTAATAGGTGTACCCCACAGCTTATAACGGGCATCGGTCCTGCGCCTTGCAAGTGAAATATAACTTGACACATATTACCCTGCTGCAAATGCGTCGGTTCTTCTCCCACACGTAACTTCTGCGGATCCAATAATGGAACACACTTGAGCCACGCATAAGCATCCTCTATCTCCGTTGCATACGTATCCCCAATCCATACCTCATTGACAAGTTTTCCATTGATAAGAATCTTGGCATCGTCAAGATAAGGGTAATGATAGCTAACACATAGGACCAATCTTGACGTCTCCCATTCTAAATTTGGAGGAATTTCAAAAGAAAATTCACATCCACCAATGTATTCCTCTTTATCCTCGACATCAGGATATCTACGTACTGTTGCATTTTTACAACAGCTGACCCACTTTGGAAATGCATTGCCTGGAAGTATAATTTCGAATACAAAATGCGGTACCTACAATAGAATAGAGTTACAACAATCATCATCTTAACGATATAATATAGAGGAAGAGAGAGAGAGAAGAGACAGAAACCTTATTCAGAAGAATATTTTCTGTGATCTCATAGCCACCTAGTCTATGACAATTGACCAAATCCAGCCACCGAACCCCCTGGGGAAGTTTTGGAAATTTTTCCAATGATGTGCAATTAGGCAGGAGTACCCGATCTACACTTGGTCGAAGCAATTCTGGAATTTCCTGAAGCCCCTTGCAACCATTTAATCTAAGAAACCATAAGTTGGCAAATTTACTAATGCGTCCCGGACATCTGACAAAATTGTTTCCCGATAGATCAAGAAATGTAAACGTGAACCAGCAGTCGAGAGGCAGGACAAAGTTACTTTCTGATAAATTGCATCCTTGGAGATTAAAGAAAACTAGCTTGGGAAGCGCTAATGAGATGTTTGAGTCAGAGTTCACCTTATCGCCAAATGTAGTGAGACGTTGCAATCCATACATACTACGCAATGACGTAAATGTAAGGTTGTCACAATAACCAGCACTCATAAATGTAATCCCAGTAAGATATGCAACTGATGATGGAAATCCTCTTATGCCACTTTCTCCGATATTCAAAATCACCAGGGATTCCAACTTGTCCTCTATTTCTGGGAAGCTCTCAAGCCTTCCACAATTACGTAGACAAAGCCTTTCCAGGGATTTCAATCTAAGTATTGTTGCAAACCTCGTAAGCTTAAAGCATCCATCAAGATTCAATTCAACAAGTTTATCAAGGAGTCCAACAGAATCATCAACCTCAACCAAACTTGTACACTTACTTAGATTCAGCCACTTTATATTTGGGATTCCGGATAAGTCAGGGATTTTTTTTAGGAATTGACAACCACTCAAATTCAAAGATGTCAACTTTGGCATATACTGTGAGACAAAAACATAAATTGGCAAATTATCAAATCCCTTGAAAAAAAAAACTTCAAATATATTTTTTTTGTTCCAAAAACAAGAACTCTATTTGAAATAGTAATAAATAAGAATAATTTCAATTGTTACCTTAAATTTTTGCAACTTTCTCATACTACCGCAAGGCATATTGAACACAGCAAGATGCATTGCATAAAACTTGGATGGCAAAGAACGTAACTGGCATTGACCCCAATCAAGGAACCTCAACTCGTTGGGTAGATATTTAATGTGTCCAGACAGAATTGCATTACGATTTATGAAAATTTCAAGATTGTCCATCCCAGAGAAGCTTGTTGCATTCAATGTTATCGCATTTGGCTTGGGAAACTCCATCATGATGCCTTTAATTTTTCCTGTGCCCTAAAATGGAAAATAATTAGTGTTAAGACTTTTCAAACCAAAATACAAGTGCATTTTGTAAAGAAATTTTTAGGTTACATAAGGTACTGGTTCTTTTCAAATGGAATATCAGAACGTATATTATACTTACTGTATTTCCTGTTAGAACATGGTAGACATCCTCATGAAACCATAATCTACAACGCTTGCCAGGCTCAATGGGGCACTCTTCGTGAACTATATCCTTTCCCATTTTTTCTAGCAAGTCATGCATCCAAATCCTATTACATTCAATAGTTATGATTGCCTTCTCAACGAGTACTTCTATACAATCTTGGGAGACCTTCTGCTTACAACTTCTTAGTACTTGTATCACATAGTCCTTATCTTCACCCTTGAAGAAGCATGCAATGTCAAGAAAAACTTGTTGCATTGAACTTTCCAATGCATCATAACTTTTTCGAAGTATTTTCTGAATACCTAAATAAGGTTCTCCTTCGTAACCATCTAATATAGCTTGCCAACGATGTCTACCTTTATTACGAAGATGGGAACCTAAAAGTGTTATAGCTAGTGGAAGGCCTTGAGCATAGGCTATTGCTCGTTGTGTGAGTTCCAAATAATCATTTGAAGGTTCTTTTATTCCGAAGGCATTCAAACTGAAAAGTTCAAGAGCTTGGTAGTCAAATAACTTTTGGACCTCGTATATCAACTCAATTCCATGACATTTTAGCAATCCGCTATCTTGTGTAGTTATGATGACTCTGCTACCCTCACCAAACCAACCAACTCCAGCCAAGTTGTCTAATTGCTCCAACTGATTCACATCATCAAGAATTAAGAGAATCTTTTTAAGCCTCAATAGTTTATGTATAATAGAGATACCTTTATCAGTACTGGCAATTTTCAACTTTTTACCACCAAGAATGACAGGACCCGCCCCGGCATTTCCCCCGAAACCGGGGCGGGCGCAGCGTG